GTGGCTAAGTTGTAATTTCATTTGTATTTTGTAAGCATGACTTACAAATCACTATCATGTTCTCTAATAAAATTGAAATGTATTTTAATTTATTAAATAATGTTTTAATAATTCAGTATCACGTTAGATGCTGATTAGTACTGTTGCTAATGAATAGAATTATTCTTAATTTAGAGTTTCAGTTTAATTAAACACATGTTAATATGTTTGAATTTCATTGGTACACGAAGTCTATTTGATAAATTTGATAAACGATAAAATTAAGAATACATATCCAAGTAAAAGAGAAAGAGAAGTTCAATTAAACTATAATACACGTTATTCATAAAAAAGGCTCTATTAAATACCGTAACAAACTCAATTAAATTTATTTACTTAGAGTAGAATTGTCGGAAGTTCATGCGAGAGTTCGTGATCAGTTCCATAATGGAGAATCAACCCATGCAAACCAATGCTGTAAATAACTCCTTAATCTACCCGAATTTTGAAGCTTTGTGTTCCACTTTCATTAATGAACTTAGCGATGATGAATACTTCGAGAGTTTGCCTGCTGGCTATCGTTTTAAGCCTACTCATGATGAACTTATTGTTCATTACTTGATGAAAAAGATCAACCAAGAGATGCTGCCTCGCAATAAGATTAACGTCGTTAATCTATACGAGTTCAACCCAGAATTACTTGCTCGTAATTTCATTTATTGTACTCGTGTTTTATGTTTAAGAAGGAACTTTCTTTCTAATGATGATGACATTATTTCGTGTTATTTCATTCGCAGACGTATACAAGTCAAGTGGAGAGAACGAGTGGCTCTTTTTTACACCGAGGAGTAAAAAATACAAAAATGGCAAACGACCAAATCGAGCAGCAGGTAATGGATTTTGGAAAGCGTCAGGAGCCGACACTCTAGTCAAGCACAATGGTGTAGATGTTGGATCTCGAAAGACTTTGGTTTACTATACAGGAAAACCTCCAAAGGGTACAAAGACCTCTTGGATCATGCATGAATATACAGTGAATAATCCGCCACCAGTGCAACAATCGAGTGCAGATGACATGAAGGTGAATCTTTCTTTCTATCTATCTAAATAAATTCTTTGCAATTTTACAGGGTCGACATTACAAATATATTCCACTCTTTGCTCGAATTGTTTCTTGTAGTTGGACGATTGGGTTCTGTGTAGGATCAGAAAGAACGAGAATAGAAAGCGAAAAAGGGATGATCAGATTCAAGAACCAGATAATGACATTTATGAAGATGAAGGTGCATGTCACCAAGAAAATAAACGTAGAGCTGCTGAAGACGCCATCAATGTTGCACCAGAAAACATTTTGCCTTATAATAAATCCGAGATTGCAGTGGCCGATTGCTTTATCAACAATAATTATCAGAATCTCCCTAACGCGGATGTTCATAATACTCTATCTATTCCCCAACATCAGAACATAGTTACATACTGTAATCCCATTGTGCCACCAAATCATTCCATGGGAGGTTATGTTTACAGCCCATATCCAGTTAGATCTATGGCGGACGTGAAAGGAGGACCATATGGCCCATATCTGGAGCTCATTGGAATTCCAGAGACAAACATAAACGAGTTCTTTGGTTCGGTTCCTGGTAGACATTAGGAGAGCCCTGGATTGGACAGTACCGACTCACCAAATTCAGTTACTTTTATAGAGTTGTAGTTTTCTGGAGAACATCAAGTTTGTGTTTCACGAGGTTTAAGTATAAACATAGCATTTTCCTGCTTTTACTTGTTTACTTGAATTTGTTTCTATTCCAATTATATTGTTTAAATACTAAGATTTTTTTATCTAGTCATGAGTTGCTCCTGGGAACTTTCCAGCATAGTGTGATTGAGTACTGCAGATGCCAAGTCTATTGAAATATCCTATAAAATCAATTTGATT